GTCATACCGACGATCACCCCGTGACCGCGGAGTCATACCGAGGATGACACCATGACCGCTGAGTCATACCGACAATCACGCCGTGACCGCGGAGTCATTCCGACAATCGCGCCGTGACCGTGAGTCATACCGACTATCATGCCGTGACCGCGAGTCATCCCGACGATCACCCCGTGACCGCGGTCATTTTGACGATCGCACCGTGACCGCCAGTCATTTCGACCGCGAGTCACAAGTTTCTATAGGTACCTGTAAATTGTTACCCATTTTTTGGGTTTTTTATAGATCAGTGCCACAAACGGTAAAAATTGATTTCGTATATCTTTTTTGGTTAACTGCAATACTCAAGACTTTCTTTCTATGCACAGAAAAAAATCCTGTCCCGTCCCGTCCCGAAAATTGGGAAGGAAATAAAAATCCCGTCCCGTCCCGTCCCGAACTAAAAATTAAATCCCGTCCATCCCTAAGAATGTTATAACAGAGTTCAAATTAAAGTGCAGTATTTTTCACACGAAAGTTAATAAATTGTGTCAACATTATTTGTGTGGTAATAATAATCAAAAAAAGATTTTAGGGATTTAGGATCAGCTGAGGACAATTTTGCTGTTCATTCTGTCCGGTGTATTGTAGAGATTGTGTTTTGTAGCAATTTGTTTCTACTGCAGTTACTTCAGCTATTTAAAAACTCAATTAACCAAATTAAACGATGTAATAATAAACAATAACAATAATAATAAACAATAACTTAAAAGTAAAGCAAAAATCACAAAATTAACCCTAAAATAATATGAACAAAATTTCGCCGGCACTCAGTGTCACCAACATGAACTGGACACAAAAAAAGACCTTCAAAATTAGGCCTTCTTAAAGAACACGATTAAATTATTTTGCTGAGTCTGACAAAATAAGCTACGTCTTTAGTTAGGCTTAGTAACTGAGCTTTATTTTTACTAACTAAAATAATAAAATTTAAAAAATCTGGCTACAAATTTAATGGGGGTGGAATTACTAGTTGTATTAATAGTCAAAGCTATTATGTTCTTAATAAAAACGTGAATTTAAAATAGAATTTTCTTTCCAATCGAGCATACAATTAATACCCTTAATATTACAATATTTTATGTAGGCAAGACGATGCAGTAGCTAGTTGACTGACATTGAACTGTCCATTGTGCAATACTAGCTGTACTCTCTGAATTTTCTTGTGTTAGAAATTTAACAGTTGGATTTATGTGCTAGCCGTGTTTCGTGCGTTAACGCAAGCATATACGTAGCTGACCTTTATGTTACTGCTTTTTAGATGCGGTACCGGTAGTGTTAAAAAAAAAATTCTATGGTTGAATTTCCTCAATTGGTTTATTCTAATTATTCCTATCCATTTCTAGGTATCGGTAGCGGCATTGACTCTTGACGATAAATTATTCTCGATACACATACCAATGTTCCAGAATCGGTGTCATCGAGAATCGGCACATCCCTACCGGAAAGATTCCAGCATCTTTTTCTTATTTTCCTTTCGTTTTGCGCTGTCTTTATGCTGAGTAATCAGATCATCACTTTGCCGCTGTCTGCTAAGCTAACCACAACACAAGTTACCACGTAGACGATGTATTACACTACAACAACGTAACAACTAACAATAGGCTACAACAGTAGGTTGTATGCCTTTTATAAACGTCAAGATACAAACAGTTGTAAAACACAGTTCTCTAGTTTGGAAAATTTAAACAAAACGTTGCTAAGAACATAATGATAACTTATAACAACTTATAACTTATAACTTATATCAAGCAAAAACATTTTTTATAATTTTTAAGCGAGATGGGGCCTTGTCGGGGCCCCCTTCGGCCGGGGGCCCTCCGCGATCGCGGACCTAGCCAGTCCGTGTCTGCACTCAGTATACTATCAGAGGCAGGGAGGCCTGCATGGTGGAAGGAAAATACATAGGTTTGCTAATTCCCGTCATATGCTGACGTCACTCAGATTGCAAATACCATTTTACCATTGAGAAAAATTGTAAAAAACAATAACAATAAAATCAAAACAAATATATAATTATATGGCAATACATCAGCTGATTTTTTGTTTGCAATTTGGGTGACGTCAGCAAATTACGGGAATACCACGTAGGCCAGCTGTAGTCTACGGGCCTACGGTTGACTTGCCCCTCCTCTCCCTCCCAGTCCCACCCCCATCCCCACAAGTCACAACTTAACTACCAACTACCGCGCGGCGCCAGTCCAGTCCAGTACTCCTCAGTAGTCAGTAGGTTGTGTTCGTGTTGTGCCTGCTGCACAGTCGTCAAATCAGTCACAACATAACCTAACACGGACAGTCACTAGTCAGTGTTGACTAGTTTATTACAGTTAGTGAACCAGTTATAAATAAATAGAGAAGTGTTGATACAAGTAAGTAGGCCTATAAACAGTGAAAAATGCATAAAAAACCTAGTGGAGCCGAGAGCCGCAAGCGGTTGGCTCAAAGAAAACAAACTCAAGAAGCAGTATTAAAGAAAGTGAAATGTATAACCAGTATTTCCACTGATACGGAATTGAAAACTCCTTCCCGAAACAAAACTGGTAAAAAAAACACGCTAATGTATAAATATACAGGGTGTATACAAAGTCCCGCACGGGCTTAATATTTTATATTTTCTAAACTACAACAGATAAATCAATAAGATTAGGTACATCAACACCACACCTAAAAATCTACTTTTTTAAGGAAATATCAATTTTCTGTCACATCATGGGGACGTCCCGCAAGGAGTCAGAAGGAAATCCTAAATAGAAGCATAGGTTGACATGTACATCAAATTAAAGGTCTTTACTAGCAGAATATAATGCCGCAAATTTGAACTCAAACGGACAACCGAGTCAAGAATGACAGTGGTTCAAAGATTCATTTTATTTGCATTGCTATTATACGCTTACTCCTCATAGGGCACAGCCAAAGGAATCAGAAGAAAATTGTTAACGTAAGCATAGGTCGATATACACATCAAATTAAAGGTCTTCACTAGTAGATTACAATGCCGTAAATTCAAGCTCAAAAGAATGCCTGAGTAAAAAATGGCAGTCGTTCAAAAATTGAAAATGGCAGATTCAAGAAATCTTTGATCGGCTGCCATTTTGCGCAGGATCAACCTTTTGAAGTGCGGTTTGCGGCATTGAACTCTGCTAGCTAAGCCCTTTTTAAACTGATGTGCATATTGACCTATGCTCCTATTTAAGATTTCCTTATGACTCCTTGCGGGATGTCCCCATGATATGACAGAAAATTCATAGTTCCTTTAAAAAGTAGATTTTTAGGTGTGGTGTTGATGTACCAAATCTTATTGATTTATCTGTTGTCGTTTATAAAATATTAAGCCCGTGCGGGACTTTATATACACCCTGTACATATGCATAGGCCTATGGCCTATAGTAGAACCATGGAAAAATATACTCCCTTAGTAGAATCTCGTTCAATACATGTGTAATGCAATAAACTGCACACTGTACTGTACTGAACAGTAATCAAATCGAAATCACTGCGTAGTGCAATAAGCTACTAGCGTAGGGCAAGAGGCAATCGCATAGCAACTACTGCCAAGTTCATTGCACTCACCCCAAACCCCAACCCACCTGCTGTGTATTTCGGCGAACTGATGAGTCAACCCCCCTTCCCTCTACCCCTCCCTACACTGCTGTTTTACAATATTTATTATTTATCATGCATGTCAAGATTTTGTTGTTAGAATATTAATGCTACAAAGTAACTGGGTTTATCCTGTTTTGCAGCATTGTAATAAAATAAATAAATAAATAAATAAAATATCAATATAAAATATTCATGAAATAGATATGGTCAAATTAAAAAAACAACCACCATCGTTTTTAAAAGAATGTCACGATAAAGAATGTAAGCAATTAAAAACCGTTAGAGCACCAAATAAATTAGACAACAGACAAATTGTGGAACACTGTCGATAGTCTTAAAGAAGTTGAATTTGTTTACATAACTCCACAATTTTCAAGGCATTTGTCATCGGCCTGTGTAGTCAACCATGAGGTAACACGTTCTTATAGCTCTTCACCCTGACCCCAGCTATTAACCCTGACTTTCCAGGTCTATGGGAACCCTGTTATCTAAATTAGGTGTTGTCAGCTGTTGGCTTTTTAATAAACCAAAGTGAAGGATCCCCTCTCACTCAAATAAAATGTTGGAAATCTAACTAAATTGTTGAGAGAGATAATACTGAATAATACATTTATCTTATTTTAAACGTCCAAGTATTTTTTATCAAAATCAACACAGACTGTAAACTATAACTGCAGCACTAATTTGATAATCTCCAACGATGTGACGTTGTGATCGTATCCTGCATGCTCGGTAACACTATGACCATATCTTGGGATCGTAGGGAAATCATGATCATCCCCACGTTGCGTTGTTACGATTTGTCGAAACTAGAATTTGCTTGGTACGGCTAGTTGAAGATTGTTGAGATTTTGCAAATAGACCTTAAAGATTTTGCAGACATATTTCACAATCGCAAAATTAAAATGAAATTGTCTGTCTCTACAAAGATTTAAATACTAAACTGAAAGTCCAACTGGTATTCGGAAATAATAATGACCCAAGTACCTATATAAATTTGAATCCCTAGTTGAGAGATAGAAATCACAATTAAATTTATATTTAAATGTACTGTCCCTTGCAATGCAGTGTGGTATGGTGCTGCTCACCAGACTGTCTGTGTACAGTAAATTACAGTAAATCAGTACAGTAAAAAATCATCAAATTTTTTGGTACTGGGTAAAAAACATATTCATATTTGATTCATTCTCACAACCCACAAAAAGTGCTCCCACAACCCACCAGTGAGTTGCGACCCAAAGTTTGGGAATCACTGTTTTAGAGGAATCTTAAACCTAGGATAAACATCAGCCTTTCAAGACATACGTTTGGTCTGAAAGAAATTTATAGGACCAAACTATAATAACAACCATAACAAATTATTGAAACTTACCGAGATTGGTCAGGAAAGTAGAGAGGGTTTGAGGATTCCTTTCAGTACAAGCTAAGACAGCAAATGTTGTTTTGTTTTTCAGGAAATGGTACAAAGTGTTTACAAGTGATGGGAACAGCCTCTCATCAAACACTACATCTGAAACATAATAAAGATTATTCTATGGTATTTGGTGAAGCTGAAGCTGGGTGGAAATAATGAATAATAACACTTATTTTATTTAAGGGAAATTTAGGACCACAGTTTTTTCTTACAATTGACCTCATTAATTAAAAAATATTGACAATTATTAAAGTACACTTCTATACCTACTAACCTGCAGCCAAAACAACATCTATTTCTGTGTCCAAATAGTTTGCAATATATTCCCAGTCCAACAGCTCAGTTTTGACAGAAGTCTCACTCAGCAATTGTTTGTTGAGCTGAATGTTGTACTCTACAGCTTGCAGTACTGAGGGATGATGGTCAGTGAATGTGTAGGAGAGTGGACGGCACACAAGAGAGACAGACAAGCCAGTGAGTCCTAGGCCACAACCCAGCTCCAACACACGTTTAGAACGGAGCAGTAATGAGTTGTGTAAACACCACTGTGCCAGCGCCAGGCCACCCTGAGAAGATAGTGTTGCTATTTAGACTCTGTATGAATAGTGGAGGGAGGTGTTGTTTAAAGATCTACATCAGACCTGACTTGTACCAATGAATACAAACCCTTTAAGAAGCAAAATGCTTATGAAGAAAAGTAAGCGTGGAATTTTGTTGCCGAAATGAACTTCGCGCGGCCACCGCCAGGATTGCTCGTGCGGCAGCTGCGCTACTCTATCTATCTCTCTCTCCTCCTAAGCCGATTCTTTGTCTCACTCTCTCATTCAATCAGCTGACTTGGCTGAACGCTCGCAATAGTCTACGTAGTGGCTGCTGCAGGAACTATCCGAAATTCAAATATTCCCAGACTGAGTTTTTAACAAAGGCATTGCGCTTCTTATAGGTTTTGTATTGCTTGTACTCACTCTCCACTGCCCCACCACCCCATCCTAACCTCCTTAGTCAGCCGTGGACTTATCTGTTGCCAACAAGTATTTTTTTTTACTCGATTGTGCAACTTTATAATTTAGTTTGTAGCTTATTTTCTCACCAATTCATATGAATCAATTTCACCCATATTTTGTTAATATCTCCTTGAATCACTCTTATTATCTCCTTTAACTAATTTTTTAATTTATCCACACTTGACCACAGGCTCATTGCCCATGTCGGCTTATCCGAACTAATAAACCTTTATTCACATATTGTCTAAACCTATTTCTTTTCATTTTAGAAGTTATATCCTCTGGATTACGTTGAATATATGAAATTGGTGTAAATACCTGCTTTGATGTAATCCTGATTGTAGCTAGTGTCGCAACTAGTTTAGACTTTCTACAAAATCATCTCAAGACCACCCTTTTTACATCCTTGAGGCCTGAAGATGATTTTGGAGAAAGTCGAAACTAGTTGCGACACTAGCAACAATCAGGATTACTAAAGCAGGTATTTACACCAATTTCACTATTTTTTACTGTATCACTGATTAAATTAGCGTATAGGTTCATGTAGGCTACTTCAACTACTCTAAATGTAGATGGTAACTTATTTTTTTATTTAAGAAAAATGTTATAATGCTAAATTAAATTTTCCTCTAAAACTTTTTATGTTTTTATGAGCTGGAGATTCAAAATGAGCACGAGCACTGACATTTAACTGTCACTCCTTTTAATCGTTTTTTTATTCAAGAGATAATATCTTTGTTATAAAAATCAGTAATATTTATTTATTTATTTATTTATTGAGTTACACGTCATTACATTATAATAACAGGACATATTGTCAATGGTTAAATAAAGACTTAAAACTAATAGATAAAACTAATACATCTGTATTTACATAAAACAACTGAATCTTTCCAAAATACAACATTGTTACATGACAAAAAAATTGAGCCAGCAGGAGTGTGAAGGTTTACTTATACCTAATTCCAGCAGCCCTTAAAATAATCTGCCAATGAAAAAAAAGATTTAGTCTTGAGCCATTCTTTTAAATAAAGTCTAAACTTATAGGGATTTTCTAGAGTAATTAAACTTGTTGGTAAGTTATTTAAGATTTTTGGACCAATGTATTGTGGTGATGACTCGAATATTTGTAAATTATGAGCTACAGGTTTGATAATATTCTTTTTTCTTGTATTGTAATTATGTTGAGTTTGGGTCTCCATAAAAGTAGAGAGGTTTCTATGGACCCAGCATGCTATTTCCAAAATATAGTGATCGTAAAAAGTAAGAACTTTAAAGTTTTGAAACAGTTTTTTACTAGGGGTTCTAGAGGGAACTTTGCCAATAATTCGTATTACTTTTTTTTGTAATTTAAAAATTTTTTTTGAATGAGGAGAGTTACCCCAGATCAAGATACCATATGTCATTAATGATGAGAAATATGCATGATATATTATTAGCTGGGTTTCTAGATTCGTTACTTGTGAGATTATTCTTATTGAGAAAATGCAAGGGTCTAATTTTTTACTTAAATTTTCAATTTGAGATGCCCAGTTAAGATTTTTATTCAAAATTAATCCAAGGAATTTTACATTTTGTTGTGGAGATAATTGATGATTTGAAAGGATAATGTGATTTGAATCATCTTCCCTGTAGTTAGCTGAAAAGTTTATAATTTGGGTTTTTTCCACATTTAGGGCCAGACCATTTGCCCGGAACCAGTTACCCAGAGCAGAGAATTCTTTGTCTATGCTAGTCTGCAGGACGTCAATAGTGGGTCCTCTACACAAAAGCATTGTGTCATCTGCATATTGAAAAAGTTTCATCTTTGTTATATTTGGCAGATCATTTACATAGATTAAAAACAAAGAGGGACCCAATATTGACCCCTGTGGCACACCACATTGCACTTTATCCCAAGATGAATTTACTTGTTGACCATTTTTGCTGATTTTAGTTCTCTGGTATCTATTAGTTAAATAGGAAGAAAACCACAGTTGCTCTTTTCCTATAACTCCAATTTTGCCTAGCTTTTCAATTAAAATGTCATGGTTAACACAGTCAAAAGCGCTGGATAGGTCGCACAGCACATAATAATATAATATAATATAATATAATATAATATAATAATATATTTATATTATAATTATATTTTGTATAAATAAATTGTCTTATTAATAGTCCAAAAGCCTTCTGCAATTGCGGCAAAAATGAACGATATTGTCCTCGGTAACTATGAAATCATGAGCGACTTCCGTGTTTGCAGGGTCTTCATCTTTGTCTCACGCGGTCGCAAAGTAATAGTGGTTATCTTTTGAGATTGATGGTGAAATAGAGAATATCTTTCATGGTCGCGGGGATATATTCTACGTCTCCTGCCATTTAAGATGAAATCATTAACATTTCCTGCGAACAAGGGATATCGTCCCCCGCTATCGTGGCAGAATCGTGAATACGAAACAGAATAGAAAATTAACAAAATTGTCCTTGGTTAAGAAACATTTTTAGTTGAGTCCCTTGCAGTCTTGGTGAAGGTAAAATCATGGGCATCTTCCGCTATCGTAAGGAATCGTGAACGTATTCTACGTCCACGGTGAAATAATGAACATCTTGCGCCATCGCGAGGACATTACCGCCTATTACGACCGTGGCCAAATTCTGAACAACTTCCATTTGTGAGGACATCATCTTAGTCTCCCAATAACACGGCGAAATCATGAACGTCTCTGTGGTCTCTGAGAAATCGTTGAATCTTGAAATCTCGAATATCTTTTGCGGTTGCCAGACCTGATTATCAACACCCGCGATCGCAGGAGTTATGAATTTTGACCACGCAATCGTTGCAGACGATTTTGGCGATCTTGAGAATATAAATTTGATTCGGAAAGTTGTACGCCCTAATTCTAATGGATTATTGGCAAAATGTATTTTCTAAGAGAAAAAACATACTTTCGAGGCCCCAAGTGAGGCCCCTTTTCAGGTCGAGATCCTCAGCAATCGCCTTGTCTGACGTTTGTCATAGGCCTGATTTGGGAGCCTATGTTGCTGTGGGGCCCTGGGCGGACCGCCCCCCCCCCCTCGGTATGCCACTGCCTGAGCTTTTAGTAATAAGATTGTTTGGAACCATATTGTTTTTTTGTGCACAGCAATGGCCTGTAGGGGCAGGTGCCAAAGCAGAACGGTTTTAAACTTTCTGCAACGGACTTTGAAAATAAATCAATTTTCTTCAGGCTTATGCGGTCTAATTTGTGTACGTAAATGAACCGCGTTTGTGATAGTTTTAATGAATATTTGTAAATAAATAAGTTTTCCGAATACGCCACGCCTACTGTTATTAAATTGTATCACTTTGGTAATTTGGTTATTCTATGCGTTCTTTTCTACGACGATATACGGAATATTGACGTCGCAGCTTGTTTATGTAATGCATGACATTTTGTAGTGTTAATGTTTGCAGAACAGAGAATTTTTCTGCAGAAATAAAGTTGTTGCCTTTCTACAGAAATATTTTCTGCGAAAAAAAATTTTTATTGTTATGTAGCATTTCCTGCAGAAACTTATACCTACAGGTTTTTGTAGGAAGGGCCATGTGGCCCTAGCTTTGCCCGTCAAAATAAATAATTTTAATTAAAAAAAAAAAATATTATAAAAACAACCAGTCAGGCAGGCTGGGCTTTCTGCAGCCCTCAACGTTTTTCTGCGACGTCGCACAGCGCCCGTAGTTCTGCTTTGTGGTGGATCAGTCCAAACCCAGGTATATTAAACATTTACCTATTGAATATTGATAGAACATCATTAAAACTACCCTGTGACGGGTGAAGATTTGATCCAATTGATAGGACAACAAAATATGGTTCAACAACCTACAGATTATATGTCTAAAATATACCAAGTATACAAACCTCCCACGTAGCTAAACCTGTCGTCCCACCACTGACAAAACTGATCTTCTCTCGTATTGTGATTGTTTTGTCATGTACTACTGTGAAATGTCTGTAGTGATACTCCTCTGGTTCAGAACTGTTGTTAAGTTTGCTCAAATACTCCTTGTACAGGTTCTCACTAACCTCTTGTCCACAGTTTTCCAACTGCAATTGTAAAGAACAAATTATATTGGCTACTGTGAAACTATGTGTACGCTGATTGGAAATGCATTTTGATAACTCTTTGTGGTTATCATGTTTATTTAAATATATTCCGTAGCAAATTTAAGACAGTCATTTCAGTAAGCATAGCTTTGCATTTAACTTGCAGTAACTTAAATATTCCTCCTCCCTGTAGTCATGAATTACACCTTTGGCTATTAACACGTTCTCGGCGGCATGGGAGCGATCGCTCCCATACGGAACCCTAATGCCATTCTGGTGGGTGCGATCGCTCCCAAGCTGCATAGCAGTACGAAATGATTTATTTTTATAAGCCAGGATTAGAGCTAGAAACTTGAAACCTCGCACAGCACTGCTCAATAGTATACTGTACTTTGTTGATGGTGTAGGTTGGTAATAAATTTCCCCGTGAAATCCCCGTCTGGCAATCTCAAAATCGACTTTTTGTCCCGTCTTTATCCCTCCATTTGGCAATACAATTCCAATGGGACCGGCTACGTTCCAAGCAGTGCTGCTATCTGTGGGTGTTTAGCGAACTACGTCGACTCTCGTTGTAAAGCAGGACATCCTCGCACGTTATTTGCTATTTGTCAGACCGAAATTGGAAAGCCAATCACACGCGGTAATCGGGTTTGTTCGATGCTGAGGGCTGCGCCGCACTGGGGATAAGCCCGCCATTTGACGTGCCGCCGCAAACGTGTTAATGTCTATCAAGGATAATGAATGGAACAATATATTTAAACTGCATATTTTCTGCAATAGGCATGTTTATCGGTGTGCTAAAATTTATCAACCAATCTATTACATTATTTAAGTAGCTTAAGTCTTAAAAATTTAGTTTTTACGACTAGGTTTCCAGTAGGCCTACCGTAACTTATTTGGTTTTGTGCTAATCACATACCAAGTCTTCGATGCATTCACATCATTTTTGCTTGATGTTATCATGATAAAGGTCACGCATATATAAATAAAAATATATATTCTATTATAATGGATGGTATTTTTAGCCTCCTCTGGAAACCTCGACAAAAAAAAATCAGTCCCGGGTCCATACTAAGAGACCTACAGAAATAACTTAGCCTATGGCTTAACTACAGAAATAGCCTATGAGAGGCGCTACCTAATAACGCTAATAACTTACAAACTGCTTGCACAAGGTTTACCTCAGATATTATTTTTTTCAAGAAAATACGCTGGAAATCTTTTTTGATTGGGTGATGCAAGTTGCAAGGATGAAGTACTGAAGCTGACAGTATATTCTCCTGGAGAGATACTGGGTCTTTGTTGCCTCTGATGTAGTTTATAAGTTTCTGGAAATAAAAGTTTAACATTTCACTTAAAACAATAGAAACTTATGACAGCTCCTTAAAATTAGTGTACAATTATATACATAACACCGTTTGGGAATTCATAACTTAATCAACATTTTTCAACATTTAGTTCTTAGTTGGAGTTGTTGTTGTTGTAAGAGATTTGTTTTAGTTTTACTGTCATGCATTCAACAGCTCAATACCATCACTGTAACTTACTATCTGAGAGTAGGGTGTATAAAGATTGATTTTTCAGTGGCAGTTTGCGTGTATAGAAATAAATATATATGTAGGCCTACTTACTGTCTTCGCAATCCTTGTTTGGTTACAGCATATGGCCGTTTCGGAGATCACTCCATCGTCGGGTGTAGTCGTACACTAAACTAAAATACTGTTGTATTTAAATTTTTCACGGGATTTTTTCATTTTCATTGTTCAATTATAAATAGTACATATACAACACAAAAACATTTAAGCACGTGCACGGCTATAAAACTGGTGACAAACTGAACGAGCCTTATCACTGCAAGAGTAGGTGGACGACTGGAAAAATGTAGGCTTACAACAGTACTTTAGTTTAGTGTACGAATACACCCGATGATGGAGTAATCTCCGAAACGGCCGTAGTGCTAAAACCAAACAAGGATTGCGAAGACAGTAGGCCTAAATACATATTTATTTATATAAAGATTGTTGTCTTGGGCTCAATAAAAGTGTTAAAAACTTGAAAACATGAGAGTTGATTGACTCAGGTAACATGGGTGCTTGAGGGTAGCCATTAGGCCTACAAAAGAAGAGGAATAAAAAAATTATTAGAAGTGGTTTGGATATAAAAACCTACCAGAATAATATAGCCTAACATTATGATTCATTGATTGCTTTATGAGAAATGCCAACTGTGCACAGAGTCAGGGTCTATCAATGAAACAACTGTCTGGGGTGCGTAATAATTTGACTTTACAGATGAAGTGCATTATGGTCTTGGCCTGCCTCTGTTAGATAAGATAAGGCTCTGATGACTAGGAGGCTTTGTGAACACCTGGAGTCAAACAACTTGCTGACGGATTCCGTAAAAACCAGTTCACAACTTCATTAGATCATGAGGCATGCAGGTTTGGTTGGCAAGGCATTTGAGGCTTGTAACACAGTCACCCTCAAATTGTGCAATCAAAGCCGCACATTTGATTGTGTCAACAACACCCTGTGAGTTAGGAAGTATGAGTTTTATGAAGTAGGTGGCAGTGTGTTCTCAGAACAGATGAATCCTATTTTTACGGTCAGACAGCAGGTGGTCGCCATGGAGGGGGCAATTTCAGCACCTTTAAGTTGTAGGTAGCTTATGGAGTCCCGCAAGCGACCTCCACAAGACCGGAAATGTGTTACTGTTCGCTGATGATACCACCCTTGTGTCAAGAGGACTGCTGGTTGATCAGTCTGTAGCAGGAGCTGAACTGAACTTACTAGAAGCTTCAAACTGGTTTAACCCATTGGAGACTTTGCATGAGACTGTCTCGTGATGGGTTATGTTGGCCCAAAAGCCTCATCACGAGACTATCTCATGATGACGACATAGCATTATTATTGATTTTTTAAATAATTAATTGTTGCGTAGTTACTAAGTTTTATTTATTGAAATGTTTCTCAAGAGTTATAGGTAGTTTAAATAAAAAAATGATTATTTAAGAATAAACTAAGTTAAAAGTAATAAGGAGAAAACAAGTAACAAAAAGTGTAAAAATATTACGTCATTGAAAGTTGTCATTACGTAACAGCTGATTTGTTTTATTTGTTATAAGTCTACAGTTTTACAATAAAATAGTTTTCTTACTCTCTCTGTAATATTAGAAACTGACAAGGGATGTTATTTTCATTTGTACGGTTGACAATATGGTGCAACAGATGTGACGTGATTGTTTACATTATTGATTTTCAGACCTTTGTGTTTGTTTGGGTTCGTACTTTCAGTGGTGATAAGTCATTATAATTTAGTTACTTATTATTTATAAATGGGGGGCCATCCAAACTAATTTGATCGCATATTCTCGAGTGAGATTGACAGACTTTAGTGCGAAAATGACAGTGAAAGTGACGGCGAATCGGGCGGCGTAGGACTAGTGGTGATGAGAGGGTAGACCGTGTTTTACATAAATAGCTGTAAAACATAGACTATTGTAGATATAGCCTAATTACAAATTAAACATTTTTATGTAGGGAATTGAATAAAGTAAGAGAATAAAAGCAAGAAATAGTAAAATAAAAATATTTATACTAAATTCTTTGACATTGCTTTTGAAAAATATATATAGGCCTATATTTTTTTTAATTTTCATTTTGAAAGATTTAAAAAAATTATTATTGTTATTTTTTACTTGAAACATGTTTTTTACAATAGGAAATTTTATTTTGATTAATTTACATACAACTTTTATCTATTTAAGTTAAAAAGCCAATTTTTTATGAACTTTTAACTGAAACATTGCAAATTAGCCATTTTTTAATGGATTCTAAAGGCTATGCTATTGAACTCAAAACCAAGTCTCCAATGGGTTAAGACCAATGGCTTCCAGCAGAACCAAACCAAGAGTCACGAAAGTCTTACTAATTAGGATTTTAAGCATACCGGTAATACTGTAGTTAACACTGAGGCTGTGGACAGGCGTGATTCAACCTAACCATAGTAGGACGTCTTTAAAGTAGGCATAGGCTACTCCTTGAGCGAGTAGAAGGCTCTGTCTTTAAAACACACTGTGAGTAATGGAGTTCCTTTTATGAGGTGTAGCCTAGGATGGAGGACAGGAGGAGCCTGTAGCCTAGGATAGACCTAAAACTTAACTTAGGCTAAGCTTATATGTAGCCTAACAAATTTCTTCAATCAATAAATGTCTATGTTATCCCATGCAATGTAAATGTGGGGCGTAAACTTAAGTGCAGCCTTCTAACTATTATACCTTAAATTATTAATAATTAATGAATGTAGGCCTAGCATACTGTTAAGTTCTTTCTTAGGTTTAAGTTACATCCTAACCTCCCAATCCAAAAATTTTAAATTGCTACCGCTGAGAAAACACTTTTGAACCACCGCTATACAATCTGCTTCATATTCTTGTATCATAGCTTTGAGTCTTGATATTTCATAAATTACTTTCAAAAATTATTATATGAAAAAATCATGTCTATCGTTATTATAAACTATTTTGATTGAAAATGGACCGACGACCGACACCGACACACCCACCGAAGTCCGAACCGACACAGACAGACGCACCACGCACCACCACAAAACACAAACAAACTAACTAACAAACAAACAAACAGAACAGAACCAAGCAACCAACAGTGTTGCCAGTCCAGTGTTGCCACACAGCTCCGGAAGAAATCCGTCCTCACAAGCATAAAAATCCCGCTTTTTCCTCTCTAATCCGCGCACAATACGTTAAAAATACGTACACAATCCGCGCACTCTGTAAATTAACCTGCGTCTAATAATATAGTGCTAGTAGTCCAGGCAAATTAGACTAAAAAAAGGTAGTGCTCCCCGAAAAATCGTCTAAAGCTGGAAAGTGTTTTAATACCTTTTTGGGGTCCCAAATAATAGTCCTGTGAGTTTGCGACGGATTCTGACGTCTGCTTAAGTTTTGGGAGTCGAAAAACTATGAAAATTTTGCACTTTTTTCAGTTTTTCGCTTATAACTGCTAAATGACGAATCCTACGGAAATTGTTGTTCAAAGGTGTCTTTTAGTACATAACATTCTGCGTCGATTGGTGTAAAATACATTGAAATCGGCCGAGTGGTTTAGCCGCTGTAGCTTTTCAAAGTTGGGATACTTTCATCAACATGGTAAAAAAGTTTATTATTTGATCGGTTTTCGGCTTACAACTCCTTGACGACGTATGCTATACAAAAATGCACCTGTAGATAGTTTGAAGAACACAAAATTCTGAGTAGAATGTTTATTAATTCTTCAATACCCGCAATTGATTGTTAAAATTGGGAAATTTCACTAAATTTGGTTATAACTTATATAGTATTCTATAGCCCCGACTTAGATTCTGTCCTGGATGGATTATGAACTATTAGATAGTGGTTTATTCCATGGCAATCATCCAGAGGTTTATCCTAGAAGCTGTGAAAGGAACAAGACCCCCTATGTAATTTTAAACCTAATATTCTTATCTGAGGTTACAAAAAATTCTAGGATTCGTCCCAACCTCCCATCCCTGGACACATTTTAAGCGATTCTAACATATGATATTACAAAGATAAAGATTTTATTAAATAAACGAAAGATGATAATGTACATTGTCTCATTATGGATTTCGCCTATTTTGAGAAAACTATTGGGAGTCTTCGTAGATTTCACCATATAACTTCTTTACTTCTCATCATTGGTATGTTAAGAATAAGGATTCATTTCTTGTTCTTATTTGTCGCAAATGGAGACATTCGGTATACCCTACCATCTTTTTTTCATATATCGAATTGAGATAATCGTGGCCCTTTCTAGTCTTTCAGAAGAAAGCACCATTGAATTTGAAAAGAAGAAGGTTAATGTAAACCTTTTTTTACATGTACACTATAGTCGAAATAGGAAGTTACAGGATAGAAGTTCTTGTCGAACCGGTGGATTAGCCGTAGTGATGGGAGTTAACCCATTGGCGTTAATTTTCCATACCCATCTCTCTGGATTGAGTACACTTTTAAATGAGCTCTAAAGGATTGGTGGATAGCAGCCCCTTTAGTAGTAAGAATTAAGTCAAAATTAGTTTTGAAAGTGTCCTCTAGAAGAGGCCAAACCTCATTTGATATGGGCAATTTCTGCTCCCATCCATGTACAGGGTCAACCTGCTTCTGCACCTTCGCCAAGCGTTGTAACCCGTCAGAACACAGTGAGATCCACATCGATTGGAGTGAACAGCATGAATAGTTAAAATTTTCTACTCTTCCACATCACGCTTTCGTCATCAAACAGTGCTAGTGGGTACGGAGTACGGACCTATTTGTAATCTAAAGTATGATTCAAATTGAGGCTTGGATTTAATGTGGAATATCGAGTGCTGACTGATGGGGGCAGATTCTTCTTGAATCTTTACTGGTGCCTTCACAGCTCGCAAGGTCACCACTTCCTTTTTTTCTGCACAGTTAATGATCAATATAGGCTTGCCTATTTACGATTTTCTTGGAAGCTGCGCCGAAACCGCTGATCTTAGTCAGTAACAAAGCTACACAGGTCATCACACACCATTCTACACTCATCCTTCACTCATATTTGGGTTAAAATACGCTCCTAGGTGGCGTCCCCATCTCAATAATTGATTGATTGATTTATTTTCATTATGCTTTTTATATCTCGTGTTGATGCTATCATATGGGATAACTCCTGAACTGTAGACATGAGGGAACTATTTTTAGTAAATTGGTCGTGACACTGGAACCATTTGATGAATTTCTTTTTTATCCCACTGTATCCCTGATGGAGTTTATATTGTCAACGTGCTGATAATATGTTGAAAAGGTGATCCCACAATATCCCTCAATTTGATGGGTAACATTCACTGTGATTGGCATGCTAGCGATCCATCTAGGTCCCCATCGTTAATCCCCAAATTTCGGAATAGCTATCCACAATAAGATGTTGCTTTCATGAGTACTTACTTGTTCAATGGTCATATTACGCCATAATCCGGACCAATACTTTTTGCCATGCTTTAATTGTAAAATTTCATTGTTCAATAAAAAGTGTATATTTAGCATTAGCCAGTTCACCGTTCAGCTGCTAGAAAATAAATTAAATTGTTTAATATTGTTGAAAATTGGGTGTTTTAATTTGACATTTAAACCTGTGTTGCACTGAAAATAACAATAAATAATAGTACATTTATTTTGTGATTGTAGTTTAACTATTGGTTATGGACGTGTTCAGACAAGGCCCCGCTAAAAAAACAGGCCATGCTGCTGGATCCATGACGTAACACTAGTAAATAGATTCATTGATGCATTCACTGCCTTATCCCCTATGTTTTTGGTAATTAAGCTGGTTGTTTGACAGATTTAAACGGTAAGATTTTAGTACAATTATCCACCACTGTGACGTAGTATTGTTCTGCCCGTAGTGCAGCATGGCCTGTTTTTCTTCAGTATAGCTTTCAATTTTGGAAAGTTTCCGTCAGCAAAGAAACTTGACAAGCATTCGATCTATTGAATCCGATCTTAATGAATTGAAAAGCATTCTACGCAGACGTTTATGTTCTTCACACTAACTACTGGTACATTTTTTCTATAGCATGCTTCGTTAGAAGATGTGAGCCGAAAACTGAAGAATGAATCCTATAAATGCGAGGTTGAAATGAATCCTAGAATTTTCGGAACCTCAGACAACAATATCAGACTTAAAATTACATAGGGCGTCTTACTCTCTTCACACGTTATTGGATAAACCTCTGGATGATTGCCATGGAATAAACCACTATCTAATAGTTCATAATCCATTTAAAGGACAGAATCTACGTTGTAACCAAATTTAGTGAAATTTCCCAATTTTAACAATCGATTGCGGGTATTGAAGAATTAATAAACATTCTACTCAGAATTTTGTGTTCTTCAAACTATCTACAGGTGCATTTTTGTATAGCATGCGTCGTTAAGGAGTTGTAAGCCGAAAACCGATCAAATAATCAACTTTTTTACCATGTTGATGAAAATATCCCAACTTTGAAAAGCTACAGCGGCTAAACCACTCGGCCGATTTCAATGTATTTTACACCAATCGACGCAGAATGTTATGTACTAAAAGACACCTTTGAACAACAATTTCCGTAGGATTCGTCATTTAGCAGTTATAAGCGAAAAACTGAAAAAAGTGCAAAATTTTCATAGTTTTTCGACTCCCAAAACTTAAGCAGACGTCAGAATCCGTCGCAAACTTACAGGACTATTGTTTGGGACCCCCAAAAGGTATTAAAACACTTTCCAGCTTTAGACGATTTTTTGGGGAGCATATATGTCTAATTTGCCTGGGCTATAGAAAACAAGTTTTACATTAATTTTTTCACCTATAACGAAATGTAACACTCAAAATATGTTACAGGAGGTTTACACTTACCGTATGTGTGCTTTCAATATTGATTGAACAGATACAAAAACAAATATTAAGTGAAAAAAATATAATGATATTGCATAGTTAATTTCTTTTTAATTTTGTTAACACTTCTGTGTATAATGTCTACATTGAACCAGAAATAAATGCTGTAAAAAAAAATTGCATTAATACGAAAATTTAAAAATTACATATTCAATTTAACTAAACTTATTGTTCTGAACAAACTTTACCTATAGCAGTTAAAAGTTTTAGAAATCAATAAAATGTAATATTCTCCTAAAATATGGGGTTAGAGGTAAATTAAGGCAGGGAGTTGTGGGTTTTCTCTTGTTTGTGAGCCATACAAACAAACGAAATTGGAAAACAATGTCCACAAAACCACAAAAAAATATTACTTTTTGTTTTCAAACTAGCCTCAGCCTGATGGACGATGTTACCTTTGAGAATGAAAGTGCATTATTGTATGTCAATTATTCTTTTCAAAACTAAACTAATACATTAATTTATTGTAGTATCAAATATTATAAAGTTGGTTAGTTTGTTTTGTTTCTGTTGGTTGGTACTTTGTTTTGTTTGCCTGTTTGGTTTGGTTTGGTTAGCAGTATTGCCACAAACCAACGTCTAGAGGAAAATCACTAGAACGGGTAGATTTTTACCCTCCGAAAACCGTTAGATCCTCCAAATTTAGAAATTCTAGGTGAACAGATTGCATGGAACCCTCCTGACCAAGCAATAAAATATTTAGGTGTATACTTCGACCGAAAGTTAAATTGGAAATTTCATATTAATAAAAAATTGAATTTGGCTTATGGCAGATTATCAAAATTGTTTCCTCAACAAAAAATCATGTATGTCTATTAAGAATGGAACCCTTCTATACAAAACACTTCTACGTCCACTATTGTTATACGCCTGTCCAGTATGGGGAACTGCTTCAACAAGCTCGATTCGTAAACTGCAAACATTTCAAAATAAAGTTTTAAGGATAATTCTAAAATGTCCCTGGTATATTCGAACCCGTCAAATACATTTAGAACTGGGAATAAAACCTATAGAAGATTTTATCAAGAAAATTACGTCAAAATTATTTACAAAACGTCCATTAACCAGCAGCATTGGCACAGGCCAACCTTCTGAAATCCAGAGACTCCGACTAAAAC